TTCACTGACAGGACGATTCCCCATCACTGTTGAAATGTGATCAGTCATTCATCGGGGGAGAGCTACCGGAAATTCGAGTTCGAACAGAACACAGAAACCCGGGGGTTCTTAACACGAATAAAATAATTCCTCTAGCTCCCGATTCTCACAAAAACGAGGCAAGCACGATCAATCAGGCGATTTCAATCATGTGAGAATGACCAACTCTTGGAAGGCAACGAAGTTAAGCGAATCTTACAACTCTCCTGTGCAGTCATAGGTTCACATCAGAAAAGCCATAAGGAGCAGCGGTTTCCTCTGAAAAACTTGAGCTTGCTCAGTCCTACCCGACTGGTTAAAATGTAAATCGACGAAGCTTGAATTCCATTAACCGGACAATCATTGCTTTAGGTTTCCTCAGAATGACGTTCTTCACAAGCAACCTTGTTCTGCTCTTACCTTTGCAGCTCGATCGTTTTTGTCGTCTCTATTTGGAGCAGACTTTGCAAGATTGTCAAAATGAAGACATGCGAATGCTCGTGATGAACCGTTTAGAAGGTCAAAAGCGTTTGCATTCGAAAACCCACCTTGCCTTGTCTCAGGTGAGTATACGAGTTCTTTCCTAAACACATCAGTTTTGATTGTACAAGTGAGAAAAATCTGTGGAGCACCACTGCACAACTGGTTTTTCCTTGTTCGGAGTAGTCTTCAGTAGTGTACATCTCACGAAAATCCAGGGAGTTTTTAAGCGGCCAACTTAACCGTTTGACAATGAGTGGTTGATCATCAGTGTGCACCCTAACAGGACATGGCACCATTCATCCTTCAAGCACGGAATCCACACCACGTGATCACGTGTTCCTACAATGACGATGATTCCAAAGTGATTGGCCTGTTAACGTATACTTGCTTCACTTACACAAGACGGAATCTCCGTATCTGCCGGAAGATCGAGGCACAGTGTCCTGAAAATCGACGAGCTTATTAGTATCATGGCATCGTGTGCACTCTATGTATAGTCATCCATTCACTCAAGCGCGCGAAAAGCGACTTCTGTACCTTAAAATATAGGTTGTGAATATCGGCCTACCAGGCTATAGGTATGCGAAAATAGCACGATACCTTCAGCAGTTCTGGCAAGAGGAAAAGAATATTTTGTCGAATTTGTAGAAAGCAGACTAGAAGCTTTGATAAACGGAACTAGCAAATTTTTTGTTTCACAGACACCCAGGAGCAACGTGGAGATGTATAGTGGTCCAACAAGTTCACTAGTTTTTTTTTCAATTCGTGACTTGTCAACTCAGAATGTTGACCTCAGGCATCTAATTTAGTAAAGTGACTTATGCCTTAGCTTATATGGTTCGGCCTACAGGCGAGAGATAACAAACTACGTTTTATGAAGGAAACTACCCACAAGGTTGCTTAAAACTCTTCGACAGCCCACGACCGGTTTCGCCCTTCTTGGGGCTCATCAGGTAGGCGTAGTCTCCGAGTTTCCATCAACCTTATGATCTACTTGAACCTAGATTAGACTGTTTTCGAGCAATACACTCATTTGCAAATCGATTTGGTTTTCACGGGAGACTCAACTGAATCTCTCGTTTATGATGTTCTACAACTGAATGTGCTGCACACAGGCCGCCTCATGTTTCAGTTGGTGCGACATTCGAGATATCGCAGTATATTTTCATAAAGGAAACTACTTGCGAGGTTGCTGAAAACTGATGGAAACTCCGGACCTGCGCCTACTGATGAGCCCCGTAACAATACAAAAGAAATGACTACAGGCGAGTGATGAAATCACCATGTGCTGCAGTTCTGCCAAGCTTTCTAGAATTTTTGTCACAAAACATTCACGGAATAACTTACTGCACTTCTAACAAGTACCGCTATGCTCGACGCTTTTCTACTGCTGCTTCAAATCAAGTTTGGTACCCAGAAAGTTTGCGTTCTCTCACACCCGCATAGTCTACAGGATCTTGCTTGGATGGTGATCCCTCACAAAACGAAGGCACTGTTGCTAGACTGCCCATTTTATAACTTGTGAAGGCTTTCAGTTCAGTTTCAATGAGTGCGCCAGTTTTGGGGGGTGAAGTACCGGTTGCTAGCAAGACCATGAGGCATACTAGGTACAAGAACTGCCATAAAGTCAAATTTATACAACCAGGCGGCCCAGGTCCCAACGCACTTTATCTCGAAATGAATCTCATGCCACCTGGATTAAGGGCGTTTCTGTTTCGAAGGGAACTCCAAATTGGTGGAGAGAAGACAAAAGTATAGTCACTGCACCTCTATGGAAGAACTTAGCTCCATTGATTGTATACACTGTTACTTGCATAGCAATAGAATTGAATTGTTACCGACACCTTAATGGGTACATCCAGACATTGGAATCTCGGTCCTGCAACTCGCCACCGTAAGTAAACGGAAATGTAGGAGTTGCTCAGCAGGACAAACTACTCACAAGACTTCTGGAAGCTCTTCAACAACCCCAGACTGTTCTGCCCGTCTGCTCCGAGTTAGTCAGGTAGGCACAGTTTTCGAATGGCCGTTAACTGCATATTCCAGTTGGCACGATATTCATCAGTGAAGCATCGGTGTTGAACACTGATGTCATGCTGTCGATGATGATGATGATATTCGGGAATTTGCGCCTGTCTTAGATGAGTTTTTTAAGCGCCCAGTAAATTTATTCGCTGAAACTTTACAAAACGAGGACTCCTCGACTGACTGCCGAACAATGCAAGGTGTTTTTTTGAAATCTGAAACTTGTTCCGCCTGGCCAGGGTAATCTGCACCCACAGATAGTACAAAGGTGAGCAATTCTCCGTCCTCAAAAGTGAGTGTGTGGCCGCTCTGGACTGAAAAAGGGAATCTTTGGTCAGATTGTTCCTGAATTATCTAGCTTACTAATTCCATTATCGAGATATTGATTTGCAAACAACGCGCTTTCATCCCATTGATTGTTTGTATTTTCCCGTCAATACCACTGAGCTCAGCTATCGCAGTGAATGGAAACCTTGGAAAACCTCAGTAAAGGGGTACAGTAGTTTGAGTTGGGTTAGACGGTGTTTCTAGACAGCTTATTAATTTCTCTTATGTATTTCCGACAGCCTCACGCTAATAGAACTGAAAATATGAATGGATTGTGTTATATCTGCTGATTCGCCAGAAGGGAACATGCGAGTGCGAGAGCAAAAGTTACAACGGCCCCACGTTATTTAAAGGGGACTTTCTGACATTGATCCAGGCTGTCTGATAGGCGTTAGTGAACACTCATCAACATCGATCGTGCCTCTATGAAATGCCTGAACGCTGATCACATTCGGTCGTGCTTCTGTGGCGTGCAAGAACACTCATCAGCTTTTGCTGAATTGATTGAATGGTTGACTGGCCTGGATACTTGCCGGCTTTCCTGTTGAGATTTTGGTGGAGCAGTAGGTTTCGGGCGTTCTGAGGTTACTTTCAGGAATCAGAACTTCCTGAGAGATAGTGATTCATAGTATAGGTAGCCAAAATAGACTCATGATTGCTGCGAAATATGATAAGCAAGCAGTGATACAGGACACCCAGGTGTCTGTCATATGTTGAAATATAGAAGACAGAAATGTCGAGCTTCATCTCTGAGACACTGAGGTTCCCTGTGCAAAAGTCGTTCCCATCACGTACACTTTCTATGATTTTTTAAATTGACTTTCTCCATTTCGTCTTTTTTCTATTCCCCCATAGTTGCCCAAAATAGCTCGGATGCAGTTAGAGGTGGAACACTATCAATGGTGTGTTGTATCTCCCACTGTTTCTGGTCTGGTGAGTAACACTCAGTTTTTCTCATTACTGCAGACCTATTTTTTTGTGCTTTATGTTTACGTATGATTTGACCTGTTCCTTTAGGAGCTCCGAAATTATTTGGAGGGGGGGCGTACATGACCCTTGAATCCCCAAGGAACTTCAAGCTCGCAACCCCGTGGTAATTGGTTTAACGCCGTACCAAATCGCTACCAGTGTAACGGTGATACTACTGATGGGGAGGCGCGCGAGTAGTATGTTTTCTCCTTGTAAAGTCGCTTTGCGTCTCTTGAAAAGGGAGATCTGTTGCGGAATTTGTGGAGTCGCTTTGTAGCATTTGATTGGATTTGAGCAACAGTCAATGAATATTCATGAAAGTTTAAGCAGACGCGTTCAAGAGAAAATGGATGTTCAGTTTTTGTAAACAAGATGCATATGAGAGTTTTGCTTCCTTGTTCAATAGTCTGTAACCGGTTAGTTGGCATTTTCCAATGAATAACTGCGCAGCGAAGGCCTTCTTTCTTTCACCAGTAAACGCTTAGTACCGTGTGTAAATGGCCTTGCAAACTGATGAAATTCTGCCGCCAACTAGGCCAACCATCTTCATCGAACTTCACTCTGCCCTTGACTCCGTGGACCATGAAACTCATGGAGAAAAAGATATCGACAATAAGGTGTTCTCAGCGGACTCACCAGGCTCCTTTGGCTGTACCATGTTTGGATTAGATCCAGATCTACATCGAAGTCACCAGGACGTAATGTGGACCCTGGAGTTCGGCAGTAGCCCCAGTGCTATTCAATATCACTAGAAACTGGATCATGTACCCGGAATAAACGATCTTCTGATGTAAATAGCCTGGTGACAGCAATTCGTCAACAT